AGGAAGGAAGGGGCAGGCGGGCGGGCTGCATAGCGTTGGGAGCATGCACCGGGAGGGACCCGGAGCTAGAGCCGCAGCAGGCGGTGCGAGCGACGCCGGGTCGGGCTACGTTCTTGCCTTTACACAGCGAGAGAGCGAGCAACCGAATACCGAGTCACCATGGCTGACCACCTCTTAAAAGCGGTGGGTGGGGGTGGAAGAGGAGGGGGAGGGAAGACTTGTGAATGGGGAGCAGGGCGCGAGCCAGACCATCTTTCTGGCCTGGTGCCTGGCTCACTTATTTTCTACCGTGTGCGTAAAAGCTCCGGGGGGGGGGTTGGGAGGGTTGGAACAGCCACGTCCCCTCTTGCTGGGGTGGTTGCAGGCTGGGATGATAATTGAAAGACATGGAAGGCAAAAAAAAAAAAGCTACTCTCTCCACCAAGACATGGAAGAGCCTCCCCTCATTTATTTTTCCCAATCGCAGAGTCGCATTGGTTCCCTCCCCTGTTTAGGAACATCATCCTCATCATCATCACTTCCCACTTTCTTTGAACCCTGGACCAGGAGGAGGAGGAGGTGGTGCTCCAGGGGTTTGTGGTGTGCAGCGACCCTCCTGCTTCGATGCACAACAATCAGTTCATTAAAGACCGTCCCGGGCCAGCCAATCAGAGCGCATTCCCGGGAACACACCCACTGATACCACGTAGGCTGGTCCCGCGGCTGGCCAATGAGGAGGCTGGGAGGGCGTGGTTATGCTGTGGTTTTTTTTTTTTCCCTCCAGCCGTCTCTCTACAGAAGATGAGAGATTTTCTCAATTTGCACTGCATAAATGTGACCTTGTTAAAAGCAGATGCCCGTTGTTGGGATGTAGGCTTGGATGGCCACCTTAAAGGAGGTGTACTTGTGTTTTTATGTGTGTGTCTATGAGTAACTCAGAATGAAGCTTATAATTGATGAGAAGCATTGTAAGTAAGTTGCATGGATAGTTTAATCAGGGATAGAGTTAAGTGTGTCAATAATATGTTTCTCTCTTTCTCTCTCTCTCTTTAATTGAATATAGAAAAAATCTCTTAGGAAAGGAGGACAAACTTGATCAGGTAACAGTGTTAGTCTTCTGTGGGATAATGTTTGAGAAATTTTGGCTTTTGGGTAGGAGGCTGTGCTTGATAGTCAGGTGGTTCTGTCTCACACCATTGATTCTGTGAAATTTAATTTCTCTTTCATAATATATTGGAAAGATACTCTGAAGTGTCCCCCAAACATCCCCGTGGTCAGCATGTGTTTTAAGTTGATGCACCTGTGTGTTGTTGTTGTTATTATTATTATTTTTTGGTAGAGCAGACCTAACATTTTAGAAACCTCTGATACAATCGTCCAGAGTAATTAGAAGCATGTAGTGTTAAGCCAGTAATTATGTACACACAAGTGGTGGTTTGAACATTGTTGAAACATTGAGATTACCAGCCTGACCCTTAAGTGGGTTTACTTAGAAATCAGAGTGGTGTTTTCAGAGAAGCTTCCAGGCTAGCATATTTAAGATTAGCTCCACTGAACTACAACTTAGACCATGATTCCACTGCTAAAATTGTTATGATTCAGGGAAGATAAACCACCTTTCAAGACCATTTGCTGTGGTGGAAGATCAGAACATCTTGATGCCTACTGAGAAAATATATATCCATTTTTCAATGTGTGGTTTTCTCATTCTGTTGCATTATTGTTACACATGGAGAGGCACACTTGTATCAGAAATGAAGAATTTGCAATCTAAACCTGAAAACAAAAATTAAAGGGTAAAATAAAACTTCTACTTGCTGGGGCTAAGAACAGGTAAACATTGGAAATGCCTCTGGAAAATCCAGAAGTATTTGTAGGACATTAATACACTAAGCCTAAATGCTCTAAATGCTGTTGCAGACATAGATTTAATTTGGCTTGTAAAATGAATGTAGTAATTGCATTTGTTTCAAAGATGGAAGATTTTGTCAGAATCTATTTGATATCATAATCTATTTGGAGGCTTGCTTTTGCAAATTCACAACTCTACTAAAATCAATACAAGTATTCTTTGGAATTTTGTACCATGAGCTTACCCACGCTTACTCATAAATAACTCCCTTTGATTTCAGTGGATAAAAATGTTAGAATTATAGACTGAACCTAAAAATAAGGCACACACAGACTATTTTACTATTTGGAGAACTATTCTGCAGGTTCTTTTTAATTTAAATACAGATGGTGTAAATGTGTTTAATGATTACTAGCAAAAATGGGGGGGGGGAGGCAGTACTTTAAATTCTGTGGCTCCTACATAAAACCTTTAAACCAGGCACCATTAAAAAAAAACTGGGAAGATTTTCTAAGAGGAGTTTTCTCAATTGCAAGTGGTATCAGCATTAAATATTGTGCTTTAGAAAAATAGTCAAAAGTGATTTTTGTTCTGTCTTTGTTGAATATCAAGATATCTGGCTATTGCATCTTTTTTGCATTAATCACAGCATACACTTGGCTGTCAGAGATTTTAAAACAATTATTGGCATTACAGTTATTTGACACCTCTGAGGTTTCACAGTTCTTTGGACTAAAATAAAATGTGGATTTATATTTTGCAAATAGGGAGAATAAGAAGAAATGATGTAGAAGCAATGACTTTTTGAAAATTACATTTAGTAATTAGATAAACAAAGTAACAAAATAAATGAGAGAGCTTGCATCCAGCAGAATAGAGCCGAATAGAACAGTGAATAATCTGGTCTTTCTGGTTTGGTTTAATTACTTGGAGGCTGATGTTGAAGGTGATTGTTAGCTGTGTATGTTAAAGGGTACATTGCAAATTGCATGAGCAAATTTCACGAGCATAATTTGAGATGGAGAAGTGGGTTCTAGATCAAATCAAGCCTGAATTATCTCTGGAGGGCAAAACGTGTCAAAACTGAGGCTGTCCTACTTTGGGTACATCGTGAGAAAGCAGAATTTTCTGGAAAAGACAAGAATGCTGGGAAAGGTGGAAGAGACAAGGAAAAGGGGAAGACCAAATAAGAGATGGCTCAACTTACTAAAGGAAGCCACAGGCTTGAGCTGAGGATTGCTGAGGACAGGACCTTCATAAAGTTGCCATAAGTTGAAGGTGATTTGATGGTATGTCATAACAATTTGTGTGAAGGTTGCTTGCTCCGGAAATATCTTGATAATGGAAACCTCAAAGTCCAAGCTATAACCTTCTGATCACTCATTTCTTGCATGGTTGAAGAACCTAGTGCTGTCCTTTCTAAGACCAAGAAGAAAATTGTTCCATATATTTGTATATATGAGGCTTCCTCAGAATTTTTTTTTTTTTGTAAATGAAGTATGATAGATGTGGAGATGTAATAAACCATGACAGACACCTGGTGGTACTGGAAGTCAAGATGAGGGCATGGGGAGGTAAGATTACCTGATGTAGTTCTATTGTTGATTTATAAGGAAGAAGCTTTGCTAGGATTTGGTGTACATACATGGTGCTTTATGAAGAAATGCTTTTCATGTGTGTCAAGACTAAAAACTGAACTGATTTAATGCTGGCATGGCCTAGTGACACTATCCATGGAGTTTCCATTTTGCCAGGATATTGGTTCAGTTGGTTAGCTTATCTGTGAGTGCCCTGTCCTACAAAATCCTGTAGCATCTCCTAGGCAGCAGGAACAAAACTGGAGGATTTTTCCAACAGTAGTAGCAAGGGTGGGAAAGTAATTCTGCTTTCGAGTAATTGGAAGCCCATAATCCTTGCTGATCTATTGCAGATGGTGCAGAGATCTAGCAGTAGATCTACATTTATTTTCTGTCAACCTCTGCTGTAGTGATTTTAAACCCCTGGGCACTAAATTCTCAAATTTTCATTTGTAACCAGCCAGCCCCTTGAACAGGTAGGTTCTAAATCATATGCTTCCTCCTTTGGATATACAGCATATGCAAAAGAATGACACAAAATGCTTTGAAAGGAAAATATAAAATAATACGAGTGCATGTGGATGTTCAACAGAGTAGCTAGCTTTTATACATATAAGAGGGCCATTCTGCTCCCAACGTACTGTATAGTGTAGCATTTAAATCATGATCTTTCTTTTTGAATCCTGACGATCGCCACAACCAAAGACGCACTGGAGTGTCAGCACCTGACTGCTTGTCTTGCGTTTTGTACCTTGCCCATCAAAACTCTTATAAGTGTTTACATGGGAATTAACTGGAAGCCATTATACCTTCATGGCCTTGAGCCTTCAAAAAATGAACTGACTTTATCAACAGAAAACAGAGTTTATGTTTTTTGTTTTTTGCATGCCTAAAGGATATAGTTTGGTGTCACTGTATATTTGCATTTCCAGTGTCTTTTTTGCCCTCAGTGTTACAGCCTGTAATGTATCCCCCGGTTCTGCATTTCTGTGGAGGATTGATTATGTTGCTTCTTAATGCTCTGCAGCTCATTTGAATGAATGGGTATTGCCTAAAAATCCACAAGGGATTGGGCCAGCCACCATCCATGTTGCTTCATTATGGCATTTCAGACCAACCAGATACATTTTCTTAAATATATAGTGTATGTGCCAAAGCCAGTTTGCAGGCTTCCCTTCAGTTTGGCAGTTCCTTTCTTTAGAGGCTTGACCAAGCCCAGACAACGTGAGAAGAAAAGGGAAGAATAATAGGAATATTGTTGCCTTCCTCAAACTCTGCCTTGGCCATAAATCCTGTCTAATCATTCCTCAACCTAAGAAGCATTTTGTTAGCGAGTGGTTATTGATAGATCCAGTATTGAAGACAATCCATAACCCCCTTCCATGGGCAGGCAAAACCCTGGCTTGAAAATATTGAATGTTTTCTTTATCTTTGAAATGATCTAGGGTTGATTCTTGCATATGCTTCAGATGGTAATTCCCACTTGTGAATGGCCCAATGCAGATTGCACACTACAGACAGAACTGCCATTAACTTTAAAATCAATGCGTTCCATTAGAGGTATTTCATACATTCTGCTGCACATCATGACGTACCCAGAAGTCAAGTGAAATACTACCATGTGTGACTCAGCTCTCATTGATTGTTCAGTCACTTAATAATGTCCTAAGCATGTGTTCCAAAAGTGATCACATTAAGAATGGAGTACAAAACTGTATCATCTTTCATAAACTTGATTGATTTGATTTCTATCCCGCCCATCTAGACCAAAGGTCTACTCTTTCCTTAAGAGATATGATTTCTTACGCTTCTGCCTTCTCATACAGTTTACACTGTGTGATGAACCAGACACGTTTGCCTTACTGATGCTGTGCTGCCATAATTGATAAGGTGGTGTGACCTTAACTTTTAAGTAACGTAACATGCAGAGTTGCCTTACTGATGCTGTGCTGCCGTAATTGATAAGGTGGTGTGATTTCATGATGTGTAACCTTAACTTTTAAGTAACGTAACATGCAGCCTTGTTTTTATTCTGTGTCATGCCCATATGTTGAGATTCAGCAAATATACCAATGTACAAGTATATTGCCCCTATGCCATTATTCTGTGCAGAAACTGCCTTAATGGGATTCTCCAGGAATGCAGAACATTTGCCCACTTCACACATACGGTCTTATCCTTGTAAGCCATAGAAAAGTACCAATTCCTGGTTGTTTACCCACTACACTGAGACTTGAGGAGTCTCAGATTAACAGAAGTTTGCTTTCAGTTAGCTTTTTCTTATATACCCTTTGTTTACTACTTATATCAAAAAGAATATGAAAAACATTTCAATAAAGCATGCATTTTTATAATGTCTTACCCCTTTGAATGATAAAGTGGACATGTCCTGTTTGAAAGGTGTTCGGAAACTGTGTTAAAGGTACTCACATTATCCATAAATGAACTTTCCCCTAGATTGTTCAGCTGTTAGCATCCATCAAGTTGAATGACCCCTGCAATCTTTTAGATATCTTCTGTTTAGTTAGAGATAGTTCTCACTG